TAATCGTGTGGGCTGAAGAAAAGATTATATATTTTTTTTCCGGTTTTTTAATTAACATTTCATTTTTCTTTTTTCTTTTTTTTTTAATAAAATTTTGTTTGTTATTTTTTTACTTATTATTTCCCACCCCCTTTTTTCATATGTCTATATTGTTTTATTCTTCATTTTGAACTTATATATATATATATATATATATACATAATATAATTAATTATTATAATCTAGTTTTATAATGATGGAAGCAAGTTTAAATTACACAGCAGGGAGATTTTTGTATCACTTTAAACGATACCATTTTAAATCACAAAATTTTATTGGTCTATTAAATAGTTTCTGGGATGCTGTGAATTAAAAATTGCAACCTCTTCGAACATATGAACTTAAGGAACTATTTGGAACATCACTAAATTAAAAATTTTCTGAGAAAAAAAGGTATTTTAATTCAGATAAAATAAATTTTTGTGTCTAATATTAATACTTTAAAATCTTCCTGTAGAAACTATTTAGTATTTACTAGGTTTTCCCTTTATAATATTAATACTGATTTTAGTGTGTGAAAATATTTCAACTTAAAAATGGAGACAATAATCCAAACATATAGTTTTAAAACAAAAAAGAAAGCTTCCATTTTATTTTTTATCACTAAATCTTTCATTTCTTATTCTTTTGGAGTTATGTACGATTAATATGACAAAACGAACAATGGAGATCAGGAACTGAATGTTTTGCATTAATTAATAGTATACTCGTGAAAAATTATTGTTTTAAAAACTAAAAAGCATGAAAATTAAATTGACCTCTTCTATTTTTGCTTCTAAATGCTTCAGATATTCACATTTCTTTTCATCTTCGTCCAATGTTTCTTCTATCTTCTTCTACAAAATTACAATAACAAATAAAAAGTTATTCATACTATTTTTAAATTCATTTGATAGAGCGACAGCAAACGTGAGGGCAAAAGAAAAAAAAAATTTCAGCAGTTGAAACTTTCTGATTTCCTCTAAGTTTATCGAAACCCACTTCTCACTAAACTTTAAATTACTTATAAAAGTGAAAGAGAATTTGTCACGAAGGGTTTTTCCCTTGGTGTAGTGTCCTCTCAACAATATTTGTACTCTTTTCTGTCATGAAAATTAGATACAACAATATTATGTATTCGATGTGTACTTATTTCTTGCACTACTTTGTGTTATAAATACATTTAACTTTCTCTATTTTAGAGTATTCACCTCTTTACCCGATTTATACATGGATTTTACTTTACCTTTTAATATGTGTTTGGCTCGGTATGTCTTTTTTGGACTTTGTGCTATTAAATTTTATATTCAATTCAAAGTTAAGAATAAAAAAATTAAAAGCACTATCAAAATTTGTCAAATTATTAGTGAGGAAGGCAGGATGAAGCAAGTCAAAACTGATTTGATTGCCTGATGAAAATTGCGAGTATTTCTATTAATTGTGTTGCAACTTCTTTCTGTCCCTGTGATCAGGGATCAGAAGTCTACAAACATATTTAAAATACTGATGTAAAATATTTCATATAAATGCTATTTATAAGTTATTAGAAAACAACAGCATCAATTTAATAATACCTTCAGTTCAGCATTTTCCTCTCGAAGCTCTTTTAAATTTGAAGCTAATCTTAAATTTTCTGTCTGTAGCTTTGCCCTAGCATTTTCTTCCTCATCCAATCTGAAAAAGAAAAAAGAAACTAAAATTATGCTCTCTAGTTAAGGAAGACAAATGATTTCTATTAAAAATATTCTTCTTATTAAATTTTATCTGTATATTTTTCGCATTATATATTTTATATCTGCATTTCTCTGCATATATCTACTGTTCATAAATTTTTTTTTATTCTATTGAAATATATGGCCAAGTGATGTCTCTATGACCAAATCATTCAAAACTGCAGCGAAATTAAATTAGGTATACAATTAAAAAAATACATGTTTTGCACTTCTTTAAATAAAATAAATTTTAAAAAGTTAACTTTACTACGGAGTTTAACATTAGTAGTGGTAACCTAAAAAATTGGGTCGGCTGCTCTACGAGACGGTTATAAAAGAAGAAAAAGAATGTCAATAAAACCTAGCAAAACTAGCATTCAGAAGAATGCGAATTTTAACTCTAAAATGCACAATGTCTTAACATTAAGAGCGAATACAATTTTCAAACAAGAAAAATATGATTAATGAATATATTGAACCCTTTGAAGAGATATTTTGCCCTGAACCTCCTGGATTGAGAATAGATGGTCCTGTCTATGAATGTCTTCATTCATAGAGGATGTATCATGATTATTCAGCGGTAACATCAAAAGAAATAGATGTTTGAATAGTTTTCTGGGAATATTTGTTATCGATTGGCTGGTTGTTAACGGAAAATTTTTTTTTAAAGCACAAAAATGTTTAATACCTGCTTTTTGGAGTGATTTTTTTGTGTGTTTTGAGTGTTTTGTGGAGTGATTTTTGGAGTAGGAATTAGAAAGAAAAAAAAAACGAAAGAAATTTCGGTCATTTTACCGGAATGAAGATTAGTTCGGACGTTCTAATGGGAGTTAAAATAACATTACATTTATAATACTACAAACGTAGTTACAGCGAACGAGTTGCACTAAAGAGCATAGACTGTGTATTAATTAATGCATACTTTTCACTCAGCACTTGCAAAGCCTTTAACAAAGAAGCTGATTTCTTCTCATGTTTCATTTTCTCTTCTCTTAGTGTTTCCAATTCCTGAAAAGAAAAAATAGAGCATTAAATGATGGCAGAAAATAAACTTCTTTTGACTTAGTGCGTGCATATTATGGATATACATAATAAACATATGTTTGTATAGTATATGCACTACCCTACAATAATTGAAAAGACATTTTCAGTTTTTGAAATTTTTTTAAAAATTTATAAGGAAGTACTTGGAAGATTATTTAAAATTTAAGAGATATTTAGATCACCCACTTTCTCATATTTATGAATAGAATTTAAAGTTTTCAGAGGTTTGAGCAACTGGCAATAAATTTGGGACACAAAAAAAAAGTGATTTTTAATACTTTTTGTCAGAAACTACAGGAATTAAATTGTAACTTGTATCAATTATATACAATAATTGTGTACATTATTGTGAGCCTAGCTTAAATATTAATGGAGATACGGAGATTTTTATGAAGAACTTTTATTTTGTCTAACGGTTTTATGACATTTTAAAAAAATATTCTGTAAGATTTAAACAAAATTATTATTTTAAAATTTAAAAAAACTTGTTAAAAATTGCGCAGCATCTAAGCATATAAATTAATTCCGCGCACTTGTGGAAAACATTAAAAAAAATCTCAGAATTTCGTAGTGGTTCGTATTTGGTAATTAAAGAAAAATCCGATTTGAATATCTTGAAAATTTAAAAAGTCTGAAGCAATTTTCTAACTAGTTTTGCTAATTTCTGCAAAAAAGTTTTAAATGGTAAGAGATTTTCCACAATTTCATTTTGTATCATAAAGCAAATTTAGTAACAAATTATAATATCTTACGATAAAACACCAAAACGCGACGGTATAAATAAATCAATAACGCAAAATAGTAAAAAAACTGTAGGAGAAAAAATGCCAAAACCTTTTCGAATTTTAACGATATTTAAATTGGATTTTTTTTCCATTTGCTACTAAATACAATACACTATGAAGTTAGGAATTTTTTGGGGGAATATTTTCCACGCATACGCAGTAAAAAGAAAATGCTCTTATCTTACTCATTTCGTTAAAAACGTCCTTCACATTTTAAAAATGATAATTTTGTTGCAAATTAAAAATAGATAAAAAAAATTGTGTTCGGTTTTATTAAATGGTTTAAAGTTATAGCAAAAAAAAAGTTATGCAAAAAGATTAGTTTTATGTAAAAATGTCCGTATATAATGTAAGCTTAGGCTTTTGTTATTTTATGCAGTTACTGCATACAACAACCTAATTAGTCGATACAAATTACAAATTTATTGCTATATCCTCTGATATAGATCGTTCAAAACGCTTTTCTTGAGTTCGTAATTCATAGCTGATCTTTCAAATCTTTGAACTTGATAAGAATAAGGAATCACATGACCTAAACACTTCTAAAGCTATAAAATAATTCTCTAAGTATTTCTTGAGAAATTTTAAAAAAAATGTTAAAAGCTAAAATGTCCTCTTCAAGTATTGTAAGGTTATGCACATATTACCCAGATGTATATTATACACATCTATAGTATAGATACGTATTTCTAAGTAAAAAGTTAATTTTCTACCATTATTTGCTGTATGTTCACATCTTTACGTCGACAATTTAATCCACTTAATCCGCTTACATCGGGCATATTTTTGCATTCTAATATTAGTAAACATTTTTTTAAATGAATACTTTTTATAAGTTACAAAAGAATTCTTTTTATTTACTATGAAACATTAAAAATTTTAAGCGATCAAATATTATGAAAAAATTAAAACACTTTTATTGACATAAAATATTCTGCTTATTCAGTGAAGGACTTTGAGTTGCTAGTATATATTCAACACATAATTAATATAAAATATATGTGTGTTGATTACTTTTTATTTAAAATAAAAAGGAATCTGAACAGATTCTGAATTAGAACGGAATGTAATTTGAATACTTAAAGTAAGGCATAATACTTCTCTTATCACTTGATCGATTTATTTTGAAATGTATACATTGCACACTTGAGTTTTTTCTTTTTTTTAAAAAAAAAATATTACCTTTATTCAAATTAATGCTATTTCTAGTATTAAATTAATTGTTATCTCTTATTGATTTGTTGGCTAATTAACACACGAACATTTTTTAACATATTATGCAAGTTTAAATTTCTGATGTTTACCATGGAGAATGTTGTATGTGGATACCATCTGTCTGATATTATTTATTATTGAGATAAGATTTTGTTTATTCTAAGATAGATCGACATGCGTAGCGTAGATATTGTCTACGCAACGACGTTCTTTTTACTTGAGTTCGGTATATTTTTAGGTAAAAGAGAAATATTGCTTTTACCTATTGAATGCATTGCATTTTACAGTAACTTATGACTCATAATTTTGTAGTTTAGTTACTGCCGAACTGCTACACGTGTTGTTCTATGTATACGTCTTAATATCTGTCAAGTGGACTCAAGTCACGAAACGATCGGAAATGATCGGTGAAAATTATTTCGAGGATGGGCAAACAATAGCGAAAAGGGTGCGGTAGACCTCACGTGCAATATAAAAGAATATGTTTTAAACAAGCAATCAAATTTACTTACTGATGGTACATAATAAAGAAAGCTTTCTTCTGCAGAATCAATTGGCATTGAATCGGAGGACAGAGATTTGTCACATGTTTCCATACTATACACAGACATGATTTGCTGGGGAAAAAAATTGTGTCAGTTTAAATTAATGTAATTATTTCCTAAAAATATGCTAAAGAAAATACAATAAAACATGGAAATCTTGATTATTAATATGAAAGCATTCTTGCTAAAGCCTGTTGCGGACACGAGGGTCATGTATGTTTAAACCTGCTTCACCTTTTTGATGACCAACAGTATATTGGTGACAATATGATCAGCATTGCGCATCAACCACCGATTCTAGGAAAAAAAGGTACCGGAAAAAAAGGTCCCGGTAAAAAAGGTACCTGTGTAGGGAAAATTCTGTAGGAGAAAATATTTGAAATGAGAAGATTAGACTGAAGTGCTTTCTGCTGTTCCGTGCATGTCTTTTTTTTCTTTCTTTTCTTTCGTGTCGCGCGTTTTCATTCGCTTTTGCATTCTTGCACACCTTTACTTTTTATTTATTTGATGTTACTGCAAAGTAAGACTAAAACTAAAATTTTAAATATATATATTAGATTTTTAGAATTTAAACTTTGTGTGTTTGGGGAAAAAAGAGAGTAAGATTTCAAGAGGGATAATCAGAAAAAATCTGCCGAAATGCATCAAATTTACATTATACGAACTACGAGGGTTGTAAATTAAATAGTGGCAACTTAACCTTTAAGCTCACAGAAGGACGGGCATGCGCAAATTAGATATGGGAGCTGTGAGGTGGGGCTGTTGTCGATGTGTAGAGTGCAAAAAAAGTCGATTAGCTTAGAAGGGTAGTTGTTGTGTGGCGTTAAAGTGAGGAGTTTCGTTTCCATCGCTTTAAAGCATGTTTTCAAAAGGTGATCAGCGGTCGTGGCTTACAATCGAGGTTGCCCGTGGCAAAAATGCAACAGAATGCTATCGAGGATTAGTGGAAGCCTTTGGAGCAAATGCTTTACCATATAGGACAGTAGCACGATGGATTCAAGCATCTCGTCTTTTTTCGTCATTAAGCCTTTTCACAACATGCCTTAGAGCGATGGAAACGAAACTCATCACTTTAACGCTACGCAACAACTACTCTTCTAAGCAAATCGACTGTTTTTTGCACTCTACACATCGACAACAGCGCCACCTCACCGCACCCATACCCTATTTACGCATGCGCGCCCTTTTGTGAGTTTCAAGGTTAAGTTGCCACTATTTAATTTACAACCCTCGTATATTGATTTTATAGGTATTTAATTTCAATAAAGTTATGTAAAAATTATAATCAATAAGAGAAAAAAGTAAAGATAATAGTAAATTAAATGTATGACTTTATATCCTGGTATATCAATGTTTAGTAAATTGATTATTTTCTTCTTTTGGACTAAAATAATTCGATAGACTGTCTTTTTCAATTTAAATAAAACACAGCTTTTCAACCTTCAAACTTTTCTGAAAACAATCGGAAGTTTTTAAATTAAAGAAAGAGGGTATTGAATAAATAGTTAACTAGTGAAACGAATAATTCATTAAAATTTTACATGCAGCTTAAAAGAAATGAGAAATTATCTTTAAGGATGAATTAAAAAAAAAAAAAGGAATAGTATTTCAACCTTAGTCAACAAAAACTATTGTTAATTTTCAACATTCTTAAAGATGGTTAGGTATCTTAGACAAAAACACATTAAAAAATTATTACATTAAGAAATAATTTTTATAGGAAATAAAATTAGAAGAAATTGGTGCATTTTTTCATCTTTCATATTGTAATAAATTTATCTTAATATGGATATTTTAGCAATTAATATTTGATATTTTTGAATAGAGTGCAGTGCATGAAAAAAAAATTACTGTTGACCTCGTAATTGGATTTCAAAAAGTCTGATTTTTTAAAATTTATTTTTCGGAAACTATTCAGCTAATTTCTTTTAACTTTTTTATTCTAAAATAAAAAAGTATATTTTTAAAAAAAAAATTGCATACCTTACAATTCAAACTTTTTTCGACTATTACTAATAAAAAAATTAATTAAAATCATTTTTACATGAAATTATCTTTGGATAAATGAATTATGTCAGCCAACTGTAAAAATAAAGTAGATACAATTATAAAAGTAAAATTTTAAGTGCGCATTGAACCAACAATTTAAAAATCTTTATAAACAGAAAAATAAAAAACGTAATATAGAAAAAGATAATTTCTTGAAGAATATCTTTCAATAATTTATTGAAGGCAGTAGATATATTGAAGGTTGTTACCTTCAATAATTTTGAGGAAATAGAGAAAAACCAGTATAAAAACAAAATTTCCTGAAAAAGGATACGGTGGAAATTATTATGGCTTCAATATTGTAAAAATCATATATTTGAAAATTTCTTTTCAAAATTATTTCTGACCTAATGTATTATTATGTTGCTAAACAATATTTCGTGGAAATAAAGTTTAACTGTACACTCTTATTAAAATTGTTATAAATAAGGAAGATCGAAAAGCAGTCAAGTCGAAAAAGAAAATGCTTAAGAAATAAAAACGAAACGACTGTCTTAAAAAGAAAATTTGCGTTTGATAAGTTGTCGGTTCAAAACCACGTTTGCAAAAATTTTTTTGCAAAAATATTAGATTTTTTTTTTTCTATTTTCTAACAATAATAATAATCATCACTTTTTAATAATCGAAAACGTGGTCATTATGCAAAATTACAGCTTATATAAAATTATTAATGAAAACATTTTATCCACATTGAAGGAATGCAATTCTTCAGATTTAACAAAGAAAAATAAATAGGTAAAAAAATAAATAAATAAAAAGTCTTATCGAAACAGACGATCGTTTCTTCAACAAGACAAAGATGATCTCAAAGTATTGTCAAATAACAAAACATAAATAATCCTCCTCGAATCATTTTCTTTTCTTGGATTTGCACGAAATGAACAAAGCACTTTTTCATCTTTCATTGGCGATGAGTTAGTTTCACTCCTAGTCACATCGGAAATCATCGTGTGAGCACATCGTTACTTGAAAATTCGCGAAGGAAGAAGCATAGGGTAAAAGATCGTCACGACAATCGATGTCACCGCATGATCGGAGGAAATGCTCTTCGCGCGTGCTTGTGGACATCGATGTAGAATCGCTCTTCGCGGCATCGGGAAACATCGCGCGAACATCGGATTTTCCGATGCTTCGTGAAAGATGCCAACCTTAACATCGGATCGGCGATGATCACACAACATCGATGTTTTCCGATGAATCGATGTATCGCCCAGTCCTAATCCCTACAGATTTTCCCTATGGAGGTACCTTTTTTTCCAGGGACATTTTTTACCGGGACCTTTTTTTCCGTCTACCCAACCACCTATACTTCCGAGGCAAGCTGGTATCCGTTGATTTGCAGTTGGATAAGCTTAGAGCCGCTTTCGGGAATCGACCCTCAGTACTTTAATAATGTTTGTTCAGTGAGCCACAACGAGTCATATACAATAAATGTAAAAAACATTAATCTATTAAGATCGTGGTTAATATGAGACATCAATTTAAACTTCTACTTTTATTTTTGCACCTTTTTCTCTTATTTGTGTAAAATCGTAATCTACTAAATGGAAAATTAGGGGTAAAATAAGTAAAAAATATTTACCAAAGCTAAAATATATTTTTATGAGTTATGAAAAACATATTGGCCATGGATATGCTAGAAAGGAGAAAAATCGCTCAATTTCGCGCACGTAAAACAAAGAACCCATTTATAAGACCAACAATTCGTGAACGAAAAAAAAAAAAAAAAGATATGCCAAAGGAAACGCAAAGCTGCTAAAAAAATTAAGAAGAAAATAGTAAAGAAAAACGCAGTGGTCAAGGGGAATAATATTGATCCAGTATTACGACGAAATTATTTATAATATAATCTTGTAGTTTTATTTAATAATTAACCATACAACACTTTTAGTCCTCTAAAAATATCGAAACGTAAAAAAAAATTTTTTTTTTATCGTCACTGCAAAATAAAGTAAAAAGCGTTAGTACATATAGAAAAATAAAACATTACTATTACGCGAGGTAAAAATAATCTATATTTCTTAATCGAACTTACTGATAATAATTAATATTAATTTTGTGCGAATGACATCGTAATTTATTTTGATCTTTATATTTTTTTTGTTGCTTTTAGGTTATCCAAACTCAATGACATTCAACTATTTTTTTAATGTTTCTTTTTTTTTTTTTTAATTTCAACTATTTTTTATTTTACTTAATTTTTATGCTTTTAAACAAATAACATAGAAGCATAAAAATAAAACAAAAAATTGGTGGAGGTTTACATTTTTTGGCGACTTTTCGCTTAAGCCTGGTTAACTGAAGAATAACTTTTTTAAAAAAAATCAAGATTAAAAAGCTAGTGAAAAATAATGGAAAATATTATCTATTCATTAAATTTTTATCACAAATCTAAAAATTGGGAAAATTGTTGTTTAATTTTTTTCACCCTCTTTATTTGTGATATCTACCAGAATAGTACTGAAAACGATCCAGTTTGAACTGTAGGTTAGAATTTCTGATTTTTAATTAAAACAATAAAAACAAAAATATCGTTCAAATGATGAAATTCACAATTCAAGACCTATTTATGGGATCTTTCGGGTCCCATATCTCAAAAATAAACTCACTAACTTAATGCATAACAAAATTAAAAGTGAAAAGAAGAATTCTAAAAAAAATTATAAACACCAGCAATCGCCATAGCAACCATGCAATAACGACGCATGCGTATTGTTTACTATTATTTACTATTACTCTTGAACACAGTTGAACAGTGTCATGACCTTAGATATAAAGGCCCCTATATCAGTCCCTGGTCATGACGAAGAGAATAGAAGGGCTGGTTCACTCCTTTGAAGAAACTCTCTGTGCCAATCCTCCGATTTTCTCTAGTGACGTCACTTTGGCGCAAAGCTCGCATTTTTACTTCAAGAACGGAGCGTTCGGCCTTGCTAGCTCTGACTAATATTGGAGCATTTTTTTGTGACATATTCTAAGGCATTTGTTATTTTCTATCATGACTTACCTCAGTTTTTCAGAACTTTTATAAAAATTCATTATCTAAATAGAAACCGCCTCGTTACTTCAAAAAGAAAGGCAGGTGAAAAAAATTAAAAAATAGATAAAGTCAAAAAAAAATTAAAATGTTAGTTTAAATTCTCCTAATTTCATAACATATTTTTAATGTAGTTATTCTAAATATTTATGATTTCTTTAAAAATTACATCTCTTAAATTTAAATGTCTATAAATTATATCATCGTAAATTTAAATATCTATAAACAATTGTAAAATTTCTAATGTCATTATGAACCTAAATTATTGTTTTGTTTCAGTAATTAGCGTATAAGGCTGATGTTTCCAAATGATTAAGTATGAACAAATTGCTTTTAACGGCATATTTAAAAATTAGGAATTCTAAATTTAACTCAACTTATTGTTATAACAGAATATGTAGATAAAAAAGTGCCAATATATGCTTTCATTTTTCTTAATAATTAAAGTTAAAACAGAGCTTTTTAAAATAAAGTATTTATAGTGTCATTTTCGCCAACTAGTAAAATATTTTTATAAGTTTAAAATGGTATTTTTTAATATAATGGCCAAGAAAGTTTTTTTGAACAATGTTTATGAACGGAAATAAAGTTTTAATTACATCAAGTTTGAAAGCTAATAACCAGAAAATGTCTAACTTATTTTAACAGAGAGAAAGATGCAAAGTTATCATAATATCTTTGCTTGCGATCTCCGAGATCTGTGGACGCAGTGACGTCACGAGGAGGGAAATCGTAGCTTCAGCTCTAAGAGCGGAGTGAACTAGCTCTTCTATTCTCTTCAGCCCTGCAAATAAGTGGGCACGCCATGAACGTAAGACAAGGCCCATTTTGGCAATGGGTAAAAAAGTAAATAAAAAGCATAATTCAAATTTTACTCTATTATTTGTTGCCTTTTCTACTGGTGTTAGATTACAAGATAGAGAAAAGAAACTCAATTTATCTAAATAAAGGTAAAAGGTATATCCCTTTCAGAAAATAATGCCATTGATTGAGGCCAACACATCATAGTCAAGACTTCCTCTAATAAAACAATTTTTCCAAAAAACTTTCAGAAGTTCGTACGGAACTTACTACATTTTTTATTTAAATTATATTGACTTTATGTTATTCAGACTCAAAGAAACATGATTCGAAATGCTGCAACTATAAGGGCTGCGATATTTATAACTTAAAAATTCTTAAAAAAGAAAAACAAAATACCTTTAAAAAAATCATTAAAAATGACCTTAAAATAAATAATAATGGCATTAAAATGTTCAAAAATATATAAACAAAAAAAAAATTTTTTTTTACAAAAAAAATCTATTTATAAATTTAGTAAAAATTAAGGTAATAATTAAAATATTAATGTTATTTATGAATAAAATGAAATGTCGTTAAACACCTGTTATAGATAAAAAAAAAAAGAAGAATTTATTAATATGAATTTATCCCTTTTTAAATAAGAATTTATTAATTTACTAAGTATTATTATTCTTTAACTATTTGAGAAATATTGAAAATAAAATTATAAAGAAATTTGAAACTAGAATTATAAATAAAATAAATAAAAATAAGTCTCATTTAACTCTGATCGCCTATAATGTAAACTACACCCTCCATATTCGAGTAATTTTAATAATGTAAAACAAAAAATTTTATTAAATAAAACTTCAAATAACAATTTAACTAGGTAATTATATAAGTATTGCTCTTCAAAAGTTTTGAAATCTAACAAAACAGTTTTCCTTTCAAAGGAACTAAAAAAAAATATTGTTTTTCTAATTAATTAAGTAGACCCAAATTAAATCTTGATGCACTTAATTAAAATGCAATTTATTAATTGAGTTTGCAACGGGATTTAACAAAAATTTTTGATTGTTAATTTGCCTAAATTATTCTCTCATATCCATTAATAATAGGGTTGTATTTAAGGAGCTTCAAACATAACACCGAAGCATGTCTGGGGAATCAAACAACTCCAAATTGATTAAAATAATTTTTCTAACAAAATATGACGACAAAAATATTTTTTCAAATAATTTCAGCAAAACTTATCTACCGATTTAAAATAGAATCTTAATGCATTTACCCTCAGAAAAAAAATTGATCCAAAATCGATAATTTTTACCGAAGAGCTATGGTAAAATTAACAATGAAATATGCTTTTATAGTATGTGATAAAATTTGATAAACATGGTAAAATTTAGTAATTTTACCATTATACTTTTACTTTTATCATGGGATAAATACCTTTTATTCAGTGAGATTTAATTTACAGATTTGTTTTTGTTTTTTTACTAAAGGTGTGGTAGAAAAGATAGAAAACTATAGACTTTAGTTTTTATTACTAGAATTATGTTTTTTTTTCAACCAATAATGTCATTAATATATCGTACGTCAATTTTAGCAGAACTTTTTTCGTATGTAGGTTTTGAGAGTCCAGATTTTAAAAAGCATGGTAAAATTAAGGGTGGCCACTAATTTTACGATGACTACACATAAAAAATGGCGATTAATAGTTTGATTGATACTTGGAAACCAATCACCATTTTTTTTCCTCCAAAGCATGTGCTTCAATTTTTCTTATTATTTATTACAGAAAAAAAACTGTATCATGTTCAGATTATTTTAATCAGATTCAAAATGTCAGAGGGGACTAGGGTTTCATATTGCTTTATTTTTCATGGCCAATAATCATTGAAAGTTGTCTAATTAGCATAATTATATAATTATAATTACTTTTCAGACATATTTTGTAACGAACAGAGAGTTTATCTATGTAGTTAAATTCGCATTTTTTTAAAAATTGAACTGAAATGGGTATTATTATTAATTTAATTTTTGACAGATTGTCCTCTATCTAAAATATTACTAACGGCTGCTGGTTGGTAAAAAAAAAAAAAAAAAAAAAAAAAAAAAAACGCATAGCATTTTCCTGTATTTTTCAGTTGTAATTCAGAATTCAGCTTTATTGCACCTAACTCAAGTTAATATTATACAATACACTATACATAAAATGGCCGAGTCAAACGGTGCTCGAAGTTTGGTCTGACAAAAAGGTAAGGGAAAAAAGCCAAACAAAAATAAAAAGTTATAAAATTAGCTTATTATTCGCAAAAATAGCATTTTTTGATCAGAATAATATATATTAAATGAATAAGAATCCTACATATTAAATAAAAAATTATACAAGTTAAATTAATGTTAGAAAATTATTATTGAAATGTATTCTTAAAGAAACATATAGGTCAATAATCATAGCTCAGTAACAATACTAAATGGATATAAAATTTAAAAAAATCTAAAAATGTCCCTTAAAAAAAGAAAAAAAAAGAAATTAATTTAGGAAAAACTGCAAGTTGAGTTGGCTGCTATGCTAAGAGCATAAGTAATAATTGATCGCTTATAATAATATTCTTACATTACGGCTTAAAAATCATAATAAGAAACGCCTTTATTTTCACTTTATTATTATTTGATTGAAAAGTGTTATAAATAGAATAAAGTATTGAAGTAATAACTTTAAATAACTAATGAATTATTAGTAAATATTAATTCATTACCTGAACAAATAATTAATATCAAATTATAAATAGTATTATTCTAACATGAATTAATAATAGACATTGAATTCATTAGAAAACTATTCTTGACGATTATCCTTGGAAAAACACATGGGTTAAAAGTCATAACAGAATATGAATATTATTCAATTGATTCAAAATTGAAACTCGCATAATAGTACACTTGGCAGCTTCACTGTGATAATAATAATAAATATTAATTGCAAAAAAAGATATAAGATTATTTTGAATTAAACTAGCATTGTAACATTTGTTTACATAGTTTTATAAAAGTAGGTCTGAAAATTATCCTAACAAATTATTTCAAATTAGGATGATTCAGAAATAGAATATCAAAATATCAAAAGCAAATTAACACACTTACCTTGGTATCAGCTACAGTTTTTGAATTACTAAAGAACACCCTGTTTAAGACGTAGGTACTGAGTCTTTACTAAGATACTACTACAGTCTACAACCTAACTTTTTGGATTCAGAAATGCTAATGGCTTATCTTACTTATGAAGGAATATGACGTCAAGAGGGGCAGTTCATAAATGACCCTACCTTGAGAAAAACACCTGCTTGAACAGCACATTATTTTTCATATCTGTACATGTTCCGTTTATGTGCCTCCATTCAGTACATACAATAGAAATGGAGATAAGATATTCAATGTCAATCATAGAAACACATGGTAGAAGAAGATTGAACATCCAAAAACAACACATTGAGAGTGTATACAATAGAATTTGTAGATAAGGCATTCTCTGGTCAATATTGAAAAGAAAACAATAAATTATGAAAACATACTGTGGTACAAGACTACAGAGAAAAAAGTATTCTTTCTTAAAATTTCAATATGGGTGGCACTAATTCATGCACTTTAAGCGAGTTAGCTATTTATACCTTTATTTTTAGCTAGTTCTGATATATATCAAACTAACTGACAGTTCCTCATACTGAGGAAAAACTAAAACTATCGGTGCTAATCAACATTGCATGCACAAAAATTGAAAGTCTAACGACACAATTGAGTAATTTAACACTCTAATTTTTTATACCTAATAATTTCACAGACTTTACTTTAATAGAGTGAACAAAACTAGCATTCAGAAGTTCGTCCCATTAAACTAAAGATTAGTTTTATTCAGTATCATATGGCATGATGCTATTGTGCTCATGGCCAACTCACCGGAAAGCCAAAATTTACCACAATCAAGCACTTTTTTGTGGTATTTACTAGATTTGGAAGCTATAAAAAACCTCTAATGACTATTTATTAGCGTATTAAGAATATTTAGTATTGTTTAAAACACTTATCACAATTTCAGTCATACTAATTTCCAAATGTAATTAAGCATTTTTGTCATTAATTATGTTTAGCGATTTCTTACTATCTTCGGAAACGAATATTCACCTTATCTCCATTAATTTTGCTTTTGATTATTGCATACCTGCCAACATTCACTCTTTTCGAGAATGAATTTTCCAAGTGGTAGTAAAACAATTATCGAAAAACTATCTTCCTCAAAAATATATTTATACTTTAATCAGGTTGAAATCCGCTATCGCAACAACTAATATCTAATCCCTATGATACAGGACTGATCGTTAAGACACGGCTCCCAGCAGATCACCGAAGTCAAGCATCACTGGATACGGTCAGTGTGCGGGTGGGTGACCACTTGGATCAGCCTGCGTAGGGACCGAGGGTGTGCGGTATTGGTCCTCGTAAAACTGTTCTACCGTAAAGTGCTCGACTTCGCGTGCAGGTCGTCGGGATACCGAAGCGGGGGTGCCATCCCCTCTGCAGAGGATCAAAATTGTGATGGCTTGTCTTCGGATCATCCTCAGGGATGTTTCCCAGACCGTCGCCAATAGCCCATTGTGCAGCTCTAGTGCGACGTAAATGAACAAATCAATCAATATTTTTTGCAATTATTTATATGTAGTGGTGGTCAAACTAATTTAAAATTATTATTATAATTCAAAAAGTTTAGTGAAATAACATGAATTTCGCCAGCACTTATTTAAATATGAAAATAAAATCTTCCGGGAAAACCGGAAGAGTTGACGGCTATGTTATTGTAATGGTTATTTTTTCAGTTACAGTTGATTCTGAATTATTAATTTTTAGAGAAACAACTTTTAAAAGCAAAATAAACACGTTGTTTTAGATAACTTTAGAAAATACTGATTGG